AGGATATACAATCTGTCAAATACCACAGTTCAAGAGTTCCAGTGTTGAGGCCTTTGATTATATTTTCATCAAACTGGCTTTTACAAAATTGTGTGACTTTTTTTTAAAAGGTGTCATGACCCATGCAGCTCCTGAGGTTTTTGGGGATAAGGACTGTGAGAGGATGAGAAAAATAAGGAAGAGACAAAGCTGGGGTCAGGTGGAGCCCTCATCCTCCTGATGGGAAGAAAGGTACTGCTCAACCAATGCAGCATGTTTATTTATATACCAGGAAAGATGATGTCAATTTTAGCCCCTCTGCCTAGCAACCCATTGCTTGGATTGTCTAGGGGCTTGGTGTTTTTCTGGGCTGTAGCAACTTCTTTGCATGGCTGACCCGGGCGCTTTTTGTTTTCTGGTAGGATCACCTCTGGTTCGTGCCCTAGATCAATTTCCAGCTTCCACATCTCCCACCAAAAATGGACCAGGCAAAAACCAATGGAAAAGGCCAGGCATGGTAGCACACGCCTGTCATCCCAGCAGTCAGGAGGCTGAGGCAGGAAGATTGTTGTGAGTTCGAGACCAGCCTGTGCTACAAAGTGAGCTCAAGGCCAGCTTGAACTGCATGGCAAGAAAAAAACACAATAACCCACCCTACACCATAAAGTATATATTATTTTTTCCTACTTTTACTTAGCCAAAACTCACTTTGCAGAGCCTATTTTTCCCCACCCTTCTATTTTTCTCCAACCTGTAATAAATGTGAAACTTTGCCACTATTTAAAAAAACAGTAAGGGAAAATATAAAAGTAACAATGTCCTCTCTAAGGCTTGCAAACGTATGCAGAGCTACCAGACCAGGCCCCCTATCAGTAAGCAACTGAATTTGCTTAAGGATTAAATCAAGCCAGGAGCACTGGCACACACCTGTAATTTGAGGGACTGAAGCAGGAGATTGCCGTAAGTTCAAGGCCACCCTGGGCTACATAATGAGACCCTGATTCAAATAAAATAATAAAATAAAAACGGCAGGTACAATGGTGCATTTATAATCCCAGCATCCTGCAGCTGCAGGTACCCTGCAGCTGAGGCAAAAGGAATGCTGCAAGTTTGAGGTCAGCCTGGACTAGATGGTGAGACCCTGTCTCAAGAAAAGAGAAGAAGAAAAAAGAAAAGAAAAATTAAATCAAGGGTTTTTTCCAATGCATGTGACTTTTATTTGCAAATCACTGTCTTTAGGTCAAAAATACTGTACTTATATTTGACCCTAGTAAATAAACAAAACTACTCATTATGTCGGGTTTTTTTTTTTTTTTTAATCAGTATTAGGGATTGAACTCACGACCACCTGCTTGCAAGGCAGGTGCTTATGCCGCTGAGCTAAATCCCCAGCCCCCATTATGTCTTTTGACCAAGAGGTGCTATAAAAAATTACTGCTAAATAAAAGCACCATGAACCAAGAAGGATCAATCTCCACGTTCAAGGGAATGCCAGTTGCTGCAATTCACAGACCCCAAGAGCCTCTCAAGCATCCTGCTGACATGCTCCTCAAGGTGGTCATATATCTGACCTGGTCACCATACCAGCCCACATGCCAGGGACCTGGGGTGCAGGGCAGCATCTGTACCCTGCAGCTGTCTTGTCTCTGCTGCCCACCAGATTCCAGCGTGAGAAGGAAGGTTCATACTCCCTTCTGGGTAAGCATGAGGGTCCCTCATCTTGCACTTAATGGCTCTTCTGGGCCCCTCCTGTAGTACAGTCCCAGGGCCCAGGCTGTCTGCAGCCAGGATTGTATGCTATCAGGCGTTGGCCAGTACTGAGCAGCAGATACCAACCAGCAGCCTGCCAGTCCAATGGCACCGCTCTAGGGCTACGCCCTCACAAGGCCCCCATGTCCAGTGAGGGATGTCTACAAGGGCTTGTGGCTACTTCTCTGTGGCAGTTCAGGTCTGACAGCCACTTTTGTTTTCTGCTCTCCCACTGCCTGCCACTTGTTCCATATTGTTTTAGGGAATAACAAAACTTGGCATATTCACAGCCCCTCTACCTCCACACCAACACCCTGCCAACTCCTGACTTAAACCCTGCATGATGGTATGAAAGCTCAGGCCATAGAACTGAAGGTCTTCCCTCTCCCCTTCCTGTGCCCCAAGTATGGCCTGCATCCCCATCACAACAAACAATGGACAAGTCACTCACATCAAGGTGTATCAGTCTCAGCCTAGGTCACGGTGGCTGCCATGACACTGTAATAAGCATCTCTGTATTTTGATGCTTGGACATCTGGGGCTCACTGGTGCTGGAGGGCAGCAAATGACTCCTGGAAACATAAGGCCCTAGCCTTTGTCTTCTTGTGCACATGGCACCCACCAAGCACTGAATACCCAGAGCATCCCCACCCCCAACCTGCAGGGACTGCTGAACCAGGGGGTACCCAGGCAGCCTGCCTGGCCTTGCTCATTCCCTACTGCAAACACCACCATGAAGGCTCGTGCCTGCCCCTCCCCTCACTTCCTACCCCCAACAACCTAGTGTCCCCCCCGTCCCCTGTATGGCTAGGCTCTGTTCTTGGATCCATCAGCAAAAAGCTTCTACCTCCATGTTTCACCCCACGTCTATGTCCTGCCATCACTGATCAGAACACACAACCAAGACTGTGCCTGGCACTCCATGACCATCCTCTTCTCTGTGTAGGTTCTTCCAAAAGTGACAGGGGCCACATTCCTGATCCTGTCCTGATGCACATCCCAAAGCCTAATGCTAGGCATCCCTGTACCCTACTCCATACACTCTGAGGCAGGGGCAGCTCAGAACCAGGGCTCCCACCAGACAAAAGCAGCTTGGACTGACATGGCCACCAAGGGCCTAAGGCCAGGGAACCACACTGAAAAACATGGAGTGGACAAGGCTATGAATTCAAGGGACATGCATTGGTGGCCAAGGGCCCCATGAGTAAACAGGAGGCAACCTCATCACCAGCCAGGTTTCTCTCCAGATGGTACATGGAAAGGAGCATGTCAGCAAGATGCTTGTTACACCTCTCAGGCATCCACACGGTGGGGTGGCTGCAGGACTGTGGTCCAGAGCCAGCAGCATCCAAGCCAGCCAGCCCTGCCCACTAGCTCAAGCCACTCTAGGCCAAGTGAAGGGGGCCAACCAGGAGTCAAATTGGGCAGAACCAAGGTATTGCAGGAAGCAGTGTAGGACAGGTGTGATGCTTCAACTGGAGTACATTCTTTTTTCTATATAAAATGCTTGAGACACTCAACAAAAAGGTAGAATGTGTATGAAAGTTATGAATCAAGACCAGTAACGGTAAAGCCACCCACCACGAAGCATTTGCCAGCACCCACAGCTTGTGCGGACTCCACCCCAGGCCTGTAGGTGACATTACTGCAAGTCCTCTCCCTGTTCAAGTTAAAGATTTTTATTTTTATTTAACATTTGGTGCTGAGGATGGAGCCCAGGGTGTGGCTCTCTCCCACTGAGCTACATCCCAGGTCTCCCTGCAGCATGGTTTTTTCCCTTGAGGATCCTGCCCAAGGTGGTAGGCACAGAACCCCGGAATTCACGAATATTGGGCAAGTATTCTACTACCCAGCTACAAGCTGTGCTGCCTTTGAATTAGCAGAAGTTCCCAAGCTTTCCTTTCTTGTGGCTCTGTGGCCTCTGCAGTGTCTGTGAGAGCAGAGGGAAGGGCTATGCATCTTCACATGGATGCTCACGCTGGCACCAAAGGGTGGGGGCACAATATTGCAATCACATTACTCCTCAAAGTCAGGGAAGGGATAGGAGTTGGGGACAAGTGAGGACCCAGGAGCCCCTGTGAGCTGGGAAGGAATCCTTCTAAGGGAGCCAAAGGGCCTCCTGCCAACTCCTGACTTAAAACCCTGCATGATGCTATGAAAGCTCAGGCCATAAAACTGCAGGTCTTCATTGTGGACTGTTTTATGCCACTACACCCTTGCATGTCAGCCACGGCTGCTCCTCAAGACTGTGTAAGTCTGGGTCCCCCACATGGCACCCATCATCCTGCCTTCACACAACTCCCAGAGACACAACCTACTTCACCTTGGGAGCCCTGACAGACCCACAGGCACACACACATACACACACTGAAGCCACAGAGCAAGGGGAAAAGTGACAGCTCCTGACACTGACTCCACATCTGGGTTTTAAAATGAATTTCTGGGGGCTCGTGAGAAGCCCAGGCCAGATAGGTTCTAGATTGCAGGGAGCTTACGTGGCCTTGCTTACAGCACAGAATTGGCCACTTCCAGAGACGCCCTCGCTCAAAGCCCCCCGTTTTGGATCAAAGCTGCAAACTACAGTTGGAAGCAGAAGAGCCAGGGAGGAGAGGGCCACAGGCAGGAGGAGATGAAGCCAGCTTATGTGGGCCCCATGTTTGTGAGGTTCAGGTCGGACACTCTGGAAGATGGGCCTGGCAGTGGGCCCAGGGGCTGACACTGGCCTTGGCCTAGGCAGGCAGAAGCACTGGGTCAGGGTCTGAAGCCTGAGACGGGGAGGTAGGCAAGCTGGAACCCACGGGCCCACCTGTGCCGGCTGGCAGGGGAAATGGCAAGAGGCTACTCCACTGGGCTGTGGACGCAAACCCAACACAGGCAGCTCTTTGTCAGGCTGACCTATAGAGCAGCTTCCAGAATAAAGCCCCTCTGTCCACACAGTAGCCTCCCATCCCCCCAGGCACCACCCCCAGGGAAAGGACCAGAGGCCCCAAAGCCCCATCCGGCCCCCACCCCACACAGACACATCTATGGCCAGCACAGGAAGGACGCTGTGTGCACTGCCTACACTGAGATTTGCAGTGGGCCAAAGCAGGGTGGGAGGGGCCAACTGTATTCAGGGCAGATGTGAGGCTCCCACAGCCAGCATCCTCAGGGTCCCCAGCATGCCTCTGGAACAGCTTAGCTCAGCCACCTTGGGCCTGAGCTCCCTCTTTCCACCAGATAGAGACCTGCAAAGATAGTAGAGAGGGAGGTAGTCTGACTCCATAAACAAGGAAGGTTTCACCATTTATTTCTGGGTGGCCCCCCAGCCTCCTCACGGAGAGCAGTTTTGCCAGTTCCAGTGCTGTCGGCCAGGGTTGGACACTGCACTCACCGGTCTGAGTTCACTGCCCCAGAACCTACTCTTCCAAGAAGGCCTGCACAGCCCAGGCAGGTTCCCACAGGGAAGGTGTGTCCATGGGATCTCAGCGTCCAGGCGGCAAGATCCAGATGAGGCCTGGCATGGTTCCCACCAGCCTGGCCAGCTCCTGCCGACACTGTCCCTGCAGCTGGCACAGCACCACCTCCAGGCTGGCCTCCTGGCTCTTCAGGCCCCTGATCACTTCAGCCACTGGCAGGCCCTGGGCCCCTGCTGCCCCAGCCTCAATCTTCACCAGCCGGTGGCGCCTCCGAGGCAGGCTAGGGTACCTGTCCTGCTTCCAGGACTGCTGCAGGGCCAACAGCTCCTGTTCCACAGCCTGTTGCAAGTCCTGTCTAGATGTACTCCATTCTGGCCCATGGCCCAAGGCACCAACCTGAACAGAGGGAGCCATAGCAGCTCAGGCACAGCAGCTCTGTTCCCAGGACACAGGGCTCAGTGCCCTCAAGGTTTCTGGGGTCTGGGGTGGAGGGGGCTCCCAGCAGGGGCTCTCAGTTCTTTATGGAAAAGCAATGGTGCCCAGTATCCTTCTCCAGGGAGAAGGGGTCACTGTTCCAAGGCTGGCTCCACCCTCACAGAGCATAGGATCCTAGCAATCAGTTAGACCACAGACACCCACCCCCAGGCTCCACCCCGAGGCCTCACAAGACCAGCTACAGGCACAGTTGGTTGGGCTAGACATGGAGGTGTGTGTGGCAACTAAAAGAATTCAGACAAAAACCTTGGGGCCTCCCATCTGCAAGCCTCCCCACCACTCTCACCACTACTTTCCGCTACCCTTTCCAACACCAGGGTAGGGAGCTGCCTGCTGAGGCCACCTCTGGCTCTGGGCAGTCCTGGCCCTACTCCAGATGATCCCAGAGAGCTACCTGAGCTCCTGGGGCCAAAGAGGGTGGGCTCACCCAAAAAGAACACAGGACATGGCCTAAGCCGGCCTCATTCCTGGGCTGGAGGCACAGCATGAACAAACAGGCACAGGGAGCAGGAACCCCTTGCTCCTCATGGAGGCCTTCTGAGAGCTGAGGGAATCTTCCTGTGGTTAGTGCTAAACCACTTTCAAAAAAGAAAACGTGCCAAGCATGATGGAATATGCCTACAATGCCAGCTACCTGGGAGGCAGAGGCAAGAGGATCACAAGCTCAGTTCAGCCCAGGCAATCTGGTAACCCTGTTTCAGAAATATTTTTTAAAAAGGACTAGTGACAGGGCCAGGGATTTAGCTCAGTGGCTTAAGTGCCTGCCTGTCAAGCATGAGGTCGTGGGTTTGATCCCCAGTATCCTCAACAAACAAACAAACAAAAAAAAAGGGACTGGGGATGTAGCTCAGTACTCCCAGGGTTCAAAAGAAAAAAGAAATGGAGTAGCTTTCAGTGCTTGCAGACAGGAGCCTCTCTATTCAGCAGGAGGTCTGCTGAACATGGAAGAGTGGCCATCACAGAAGGCAAGAGGCATAGGCTCCAGGCAGCAAGCGGAAGAGTGACCAGCAGGGTAAAGGGACACCTGCCTGGGTGCCAAGGAGTGAGCCACACAAAGCAGGCTCACCGTCTCTCCAGGATCCCCTGGAGAACAAGATTCCCATCAAGTTGTCTGGCGGCATGGAGGGTGCTGCAGCAGGCTGCAGGGACCCCTCACTATACATCTCCTTGCCTTGCTGTAAAGTGGTGTGAGTGTGTCACCCACCAAATCTAATCCTATTGAACTAGGTACTCTAACCAGTAGCTCAGTTAAAGGGTCCCCCATGCCCAGGAATCAGCCCTGCAAAGGGAGGAGAGGGAGGTCCTTGAAGGGGCAAGATAAGGGCTGGAGGGGGCAGTGCCTAATGGGGTGAGGCCTGCATGGGTAAGCCAAGTCTAAACACCTTCAGGGCCAAGGCTAACTGAACCTGGAGGACAGGGCTCAGTCAGATGGGTAGGGCTCACCCGTGTCTCCCAGGCCTGGCGCCGGCTGAGCACCTCCTCATGCAGCAACTTCTGCAGGACCTGCAGCTCCTCCTTCAGAGCCTGCAGTTCCCGGGCCACCAGCTCCAGCTTGCCACGCCCATGCTCTGGAATCCTGGGCTGGAAGCTGGGCACAGAAGGGTCCTCTGGGGGACAGGCACCCAGGACTGTATCCTGCAGAAACCCAAGTAAAAGAGTATATTCAAGGGGCTGGGGATTTAGCTCAGTGGCATAAGTGCCTGCCTTGCAAGCAGACAGTTGTGAGTTCGATCCCCGGTACCGATAAAAAGGAAAAAGGCCAAAAAAAAAAAAAAGAGTATATTCAAGGTATAGGCCTCCAGACAATGGGATCCAGGGTGCAAAGGCCCAGGGGGCAGTGGGTGACAATCCCATGCATGCAGTGTCCAGGAGACAAAAGCCTGATACCTTGGGGCACAAAGTAGGGATAGAAGACAAGCCACATCCTGGGCAGGACCGAGATGTTTGCCAGGTTTGTTCAAGGGTCCTCTTTCTGTCCAAGAGGTGGGAAGACCCTCAAACTTCCTGTACTTGTCTACTGCCCAGCCAGGAAGGGCGGGGGGCACATGGCATACTCACCATCCACTGCCAGAAGACCAGCTCATAGCGCCGCCACTCTAGAGCAGCCTCCAGCCGGGCATTCTCCTGCTCAAGCACCTGCAACAGCTGCAGAGCAAGCAAGCTGGACACTCCTGCCTGCACCAGAATTTCTGGAGGCAGCTGCAGGGCCTAGCCCCCAGGACACCTTAGCATCTGCCTGAGGGCTTCAGGTCCCTTCTGAAGGGAAGAGGAGCCTTAAGCCCAACCCAGCTCACCAGTCTGCCCCTTTGCTCACAACCATAGTCCCTAGATTTGCCCCCATAGCAGACCCTAGGCTCAGGGCTAACCCAGGTATCCCTCCACCAGACAACTGTGTCCCATACCCCTGACTGGGGGTTGCACATAGAGGAGACCCATGAGGAGAGGCTGCCAGCCTCAGGGACAGAGGAATCTCCTTGCCTCTAACTCTGGGAACCCCAAAGGCTGAGAGGACGTTGCACCTAGCTTAAGTGGGAGCTGGTGGAATTGAGACACAGGTAGAAAACAGGGCTGAGTTCTACAGGGAAAGACCTTGGGGCCAGACCAGGAGCCCTCCCCTATCCCACTCTACCTAGAGCCTGCTGGGCCTGTGCAACGAAAACACAGGACCACACACACACAGTTGGGCACAGGAGATGCCCAACCTAGTGTGCTTCAGATTTTCCTCTGCCTTCAGGGAATCTCCCAGTCTGACTACAGCTAGGATTCCCCCAGCCCCTCCCTCCATCCAGGTATCCTAATGTGGCTCCTGGTGGCTCCTTTTTAGATAAGATTAACCAGCACTTGACCCCTCCTTTGCAAAGACAAGGAGCTAGTGATGTGTGGGCTGCAGGTACTCTAGATACCCAGTGCAGTCAGGGTAGGGACAAAGTCTAACTTCCATGGAAGGAAGGGAACTCACTCATGGCTCAAGCCCCTGGGCAGGGAAGGGACCCCTACAGGGCAACACATGCCAGGCTCTCTTCACCTGAATCCCCTGTCTGTGGCTCTACAGAAAAGCAGAGAGCAGATCACGGGGGCTGGGCTGGTTTAATGGGGAATGGCCTTGAACGCCAGCCCCTGCTGGCCCATCTTAAGTTCCCCATAGTAGAGGCAAGGTCAGGGACAGACCAGACTGAGTACACAGAATGTGACCCCAGACCAGGCTCGGCAGGCACAGGAAGAAGCAAGTGGCCGCTTCCCTTCCCTTCCTTTCCCACCCTGCTTCAACTCCCAGGGGAAGCCACCTCCCTGGAATGGGACAGCAGGTGGCATCCACCCCAGTACCTGGTCAACCCTCACCTGCTGGCTGCCTTCTGGGTCCCTGAGCGTCTCTGTTTCAGTGACAGACAGATGGCCAAGGTTCTGGTCACTGTGGCAGCCAAAGGTGTACGTGTGGATCTGAAATGGACAGCACAGACCCCCGGCTGTGTGTAACAGTGTCCCTAGCACTGGGCCTCCTGTGGGGAGACTCTGCCCAACGGAGTGATTAAAGTGAATATGAAAAGGAGACTTGGAAACAAAATTCCTAGGATTCTGGAACGCACAGCCAAGTTTAGAGCAGACCAGCAGCACAGCAGTGAAACAGAATCAATAGTAAGTTATTCTCAGAGATGTTTGCTTTGGTCACTGTTTCAACGAAGCGGAAATAAGAATTTTAAATAAATCCTGCCAGGGATGCTCACCAAAATCTGGTGGACATGTCCGAGTCTGGACAAGCCTGATAATAGAACATTCCTTCCTATGTGTAACCTTGTCTAACTGATGAGCTTGCAATGTAATTTAAAATGTAACAGGACATTTCTTCCTCTGTAAAACCTATGCTTTGTATAACTGACGGCCTTACAATATAACCTGAAATGTTTAAACTTCCTTAGACACCCAAAGATGCCACCCGAACCTTCCAATCATAGTGTACTGAACCTGCCTTTATACCTTCCCTTGTTTTCTCCATAAAAGCCCTGGTACCTAACCACAAAGGGCTGACTATGGGGCTGGGGATTTAGCTCAGCGGCATAAGCACCTGCCTTGCAAGCAGGCAGTCATGAGTTCGATCCCTGGTATCGATAAAAAGGAAAAAAGACCAAAAATAAAAAATAAAAAAGGGCTGACTATTTGAGGAGAAATCCCAGTTAAGCCCACCAGTATGATAAATTGCCTCCTAAATGTCCTCGGTGCTGTTTCTTCCCATGTTTGGTTTGTTTTCTGTAACGTTACCTCTGCCTCAATAATCTTGTTTAAACTAGGTTGACATCTGTCACACAACAAACCATCCCTTTCCTTCCCTGTTCCCTGATCAAACTCCAATACAAACATTGCAAGTGGTTTTTTTCTATTTTGTTCTCATATCCTTAAGTTACAAATAAATACCTTACAAAGGTCTCAGCTTGGTCCTATCTCCCCGAGGCTTTCTCATATAGAGAAGCAGGCCCTGTGAGTCTTCCAGTGACTGAACTGACACTTGTCTCCAAGTAATCTTTACATCCTTGACACCACCACAGGGGCACACTGACTTTCCTCAGTTTGGGCGCTCTGCACAGCCCCCACCACCACAATAGACAAGAAAAAAAGGCTCAGAGAAGCCACCCCTCACCTGAGGGGTATGGCACAGTGCAGCAGGGCCCTCCATTCCGTCTGCAAAGTGGCAGGCTCTTGAAGGTACAGATCTGTCCCCAATGGCAGCGGGCAGAAAAAAACAGCCTCTGGAGAGCACAGCAGAACCCTCAAGACCCATAGAGAGGACACAGTGATTATCTGTAGGGGCACAGGAGAACCCCCAGACATGAGGCCAGGAGGCAGCACAAACACTAACAGGCTGGGGCCAGCAGGGCCAAGGCCAGGCAAGAGGGAGTGGGTGGCCTTGAGAGTAACTATTGAGGTCTCTGTGGGCGTTGTCAGCCCTGACCTCATGCTGAACAAGTCGCTGGGCTGCTCGGCCCACACAGATGTGCAGACAACCTTCACAGGGCCCTACAAGAGGCCCCTATATGTCAGACACTCAAGAAAGAGATGGGAGGAACACAAGTTCCAGGCCAGCTTGGACAACTTAGTGAGACCTCGTCTCAAAAAAAAAGAGGGGGAGCCAGAGACTTAGCTCAGTGGCCTAAACGCCTGCCTGGCAAGTGCGAGGTCCTGAGTTCAATCCCCATTAACAAAAAATTAAATTAAATTAAATTAAATTTAAAAATAAAGAGGTTGGGGAGCGGCTGGGGATACAGCTCAGCAGCACAGCACCTGCCTGACAAGCACAAAGTTGTGAGTTCATCAGGGGTTCAGCTTAGCAGCACAAGCACCTGCGTGGCAAGCGCAAGGCCATGAGTTTGATCCCTAGTACAAAAAAAAAAAAAAAAAAAAAAAGTTGTGTATTCAATTACCAGTACCAAAAAAAAAAGCTACCTTGGCCCAATTCATCCCTACCCAGAATGAGGTGGAGATGCCCCACCTCCTGAAAGTCTAGCAAGCAGAGTTCCTCCAAGGAAGCCATTCCCAGATTTGTTGATGTGAAAAAAGCCTGCCCTTTGAGCTCATTGACACCCAGATTCCACTCTACCAGCAGGCTGAGAATTCTGACCACTGTCCTCTCCCTGAACCACCTAGGGCTGAGAGCTCAGGCTCCACGGGTGCCAACCCTCACTAGCCCTAGCCAGTCCAACACATTCACCTGGAACCCCAGGTTCAGCCCCAACAGGCCTGGTGCACAGGCTGTAGGGAAAGACAGCCTATGGCCTAGCCCCTAGGAGAACTACCCTAATAGAGGGCCATGTGCCCACCCTACCTTGCTCAAGAGGGCACACTGCTCCTGCTGAATGCTGATCAAGTTTTGCCACCGGAAGTGCAGTTTTCCCATTAGCCACTGCAGATGTCGGATGTCCACAGGACCCTCTGCATCCATCTGGGGTGCAGCCAGGCGTGGAATGGCCAGGACCTCATACTGTGGGGGAACAAGTGTCAGGCTGTGTTTGCCCTACCTTTGAGGGACAGAAGTGGAGGAGACTGTTTCCCGAGTCCAAGCCTCCCAGCTCAGCTGGCCCAGGGCTGTCCCAAAGTCACATTCAGGCGGGTTGGCCCTGCCTGACCTTGCTGTGGCCATGCCAACACTGGAGTACCTAGGATTCTGGGAAGGCCTAGCCGGGTCACTCTATACCCACCTCAAATGTGGGAACCTGGTCACCCAGCTGCACACAGGTCTGAGCCAGTAGCCACTCCAGCAGGGGCCCTCGGGCCAGGAGCCAGGAAAGGGCCAGCAGCAGCTCCCTGCTGCCCTGGGAGCCGTCCTCAGGAAGCTGTGCCAGAGCTGACCTCGGGTAGCCATGGTAGCACAGCACTGCCTTCACCCAACAGGCTTGGGCCCCTGAAAGAGACCACCCATTTAGGGGGACCCCAACCTGGACGCGTCACCACCAGACACCTCTAAGGAACCCACAGACCCCCCAACCAGTGGCCCAGCTCAGAGGGAACCATGGTCAGGGGGCCTGAGACTCCAATAGGGAAGAGGGGTCAAGGCCAATGCTACCCAGATGAGCAAAGCCAGCGTCCACTGGGTGTGGCTTTGTCTGGGGTTAGACTTTACAAAGCAGAGTATTCCCCATCGCCACAAAAGAGCACAAAAAGTTCCCAAGGGGCGTGGCTTGTTCGTGAGGGCGTGGTTTGTAGACAGGCCCTTCGGGGGCGGGGCCTACCCAGGCCCGGCGAGGCTGCGGCGCGGTCTGCCAGAAGTGGTGAGAGCACTCGGAAGAGGAGCCGCCAGAGTTCTGGGGCCTGTGAAGGACAAGGAGCTGGCTGACAGCGAAGCTGGGCTGCCCTGCGTCCTCCCAGGACCATACCCGTCCCAAAACCCGCCCCGCAAGCCTCACAGCCTCTGGACGGTCGAACTTCGCGCGACGGAAGATCTCGGGGCTGGGCCCCGCTGGCAGCGACCGACTCAGCGCGGCAATGGCATCCGGCAGTGTCCTGGTCCCAGCCGCCGCCCAGGCCGAGGCCTCTTCGCGCACCTGGCGCCGCCGCCTCCCCATGCAGCCTTCAACAGGCCTCCTGGATCACCCGCCAGGTCCCCGCGCCAATCACTGCCGCCCAAGTCCAGCAACCAATCACCGTCCCGGCCAAGCCGCACACCCGTCTCCCCCCGACCCTATGAGCGATAGGCCTGCTCTGTGGGCGCGGTCTAGCCCAACTCTTGCGGCCAATGTTCGCCCGACACCCAACCTTCGCCCCTAGCCAGCCAATGTGTCGCGCCATCAGTCACCAAGCAACCGCAGGAGGGGGGACACCTCCTGCGAGAGATTGAAGGGGACGGGAACGCCAATGGCGCCCCCTGGAGCCGCGGAGGACTGCGGGGACCTGACTCCGCCTAGCCCGACGCGCGCCCTAGACGGAGCCTCCCTGGCCCCACCGCCAGTGGGCGTGCAGGGGCCTGCAGGGCCTCGGCTCTGAGCAACCGCCGGCTGTCCAAAGTGCCATACACCTGTCCCGGCTCCGCTAGGAGCAGAAGGATCGGATCCTCGGCCCCTGTGTCTCGTCCCGGTTCCCTCTGTCTAGACCTATGTGCTTCCTCCTCTTGCCTGTCACCTAGTAGCTCCCCGGCAAGGCCTAGCAGCAGTCACAAGTGCGGGAAAGACGCGGCCCAGGAGCGGACGCGCATACTGGGCGGACAAACTGTTGGAGGCGCTCCTGCGCGCATTCCATCTGGCCAGATGCACGATCACTGATTCTCCCCTTCCTCCCTGGGAGCGACCTTCGTTGCGAGGCGCTCCAGCTCAACCCTGACGCCTGTACGTTTTGTTTCCCTGCGCTCCCTCCCTAGTTAGTCTCTCGGGGCTTTTCCTCTACATAGGCCTAGCTGACCCCACTTCCTGCACGTCCTCACGTGTGGGCAGTGCACCCGAAGCCTGCCCTAACTAGGATCTTGAGCTAACAGTGGCAGCAGTCTCGCAGATGGGACCCAGGAACCTGAACCGAGTCGTCACACACACACACACACACACACACACACACACACGCCATATCTGGCAGGACAAGATCTTGACTCTAGGTGTAGCTGGCTCTCTGTCCCCTCCGTGGGGCAACCGAAGCTCAGACCTCTCTTCAACCCAGCTCCACCTGTGCCACCCCACCTATTCTGCAAAGCAATGTGCTACATCTCCTGGAATTCCAGAATCACCTATTGTACACATGCATAGATGCACGAAGACTACCCTACAGATCACCTGGGTGGCTCCTGCCCCACCACCAGCCAGACAGAGGCCTTCTGCACTGTTACAGCAATCACCACCAGAAGCCAAGGAGGGATGGATGGGCTGAGGCAGGCAGAAGTCTGACACAGTGTCACCAGTGAGGAGAGCTGCTTGAGTTGACCAGGGAGTTTCCTTCCAAAAAGCCCCTTCCCCTACCCAAAGCTAGCATCTAAGCCCCACTAGAGAACTGGGGATTTAGCTCAGCGGCACAAGCACTTGCCTGGAAGTGAGAGGTCATGAGTTTGATCCTCAGTACCATAAATAAATAAATAAATAAAATTTTTTAAAAATCTATTAGAGTTCTAGGCCACCAGGGAAGTCCCTGTGCAGGAAGAAGTCTGAAAAGGTATCCTACATCTGGGCCCCCACTGAGCAGCTGCACACACCTCTGAAAGCACAAGGTCTCTCCCAGGGGTACAGACAAGGACAGGTGTGAGCACAGCTCTAACCCTTGCAACCAAGTCCCATACACAGTCCCCAGGTTGGGTGTGACTGGGGTAGGGTGGCAGGAAGTGGGAAGGGGCCGGGCAAGAGGCCACACCACAAGTCCCCAGAGCCTTTCAAATAGGAAGCAAGAGGCGAGGGATATAGCTCAGTAGCACAGGGCCTGCCTGGCAAGTGTGAGGTCCTGAGTTTGGTTCCTGGTACCAAAACGGAAAAAAGTTTAAAAATAAATTTTAAAAAAGGAACCAGCACAGTTCCAGCAGATTTACATCTTGACTTGGCCAGGCAGGCCTCAAAGCCCCACCCATTCCAGTCACCTCTGGCCCTTTGACCCCAGCCTCATCTGGAGCCAGTACCACCCAGGGCAGGGGCACCTTTGCAGGTCTGGGCATTGGGAGGACTGGATGTTGCCCTACAGAGGGGCCTCCACCCAGTGCTCACTGAGTAGGAGGAACAGGGGCATTCTGAGGAGGCTTCAGCTCCCCTCTACCACCCACTGGTTCACACGTGGTTGTGCAGTCTACTCAAGCACACATGCACACACAGAGTCTTCCAAGTGTTCAGGTTTATTGAGGACATGATGACCTGTTGGGAGCCCTAGATCTCTGGGACTATGGCCTGGCATCTACCCAGATGACGAGCGACCCAGCAGGTGGCCCAGGATGGGGGCTCTGAAATCTGTACAGAGAGACAAGGACAAATGTGAGCACAGCTCTAATCCCTGCCACCAAGTCCCATACACAGTCCCCAGCTTGGGCAGGCCAATGGCACTGGAGGCAGGGCTATATACCTGGGTCTACTTGAAAGTGTGACTTTCAGCACCACCCCGCCCAAAGCCTGGAGGAAAGAAAAGGGTCAACATGTTAAAAGGTAAGGCTTCGTACTGGGGTGGGGTCCCAGACTGGGGTCCTCAGAGCATACCTTTGGGTCCAAACATGGCAGAGTAGCAGGGGTGGTTGCAGTAAGGCTTGCCTTCATGCTGCAGAGAGAGAGACTGTGAGAGGGCACATCCCCCATACACCACACCACCCCGCACCTCACCCAGCTCCACCAACCTGCCTCCACCTACCTCAGAGTGAGACCCGGCGGACAGTGTCTTTCCACACTTTGCACACTTCAGGCAGGCTCGATGCCAGTCCTTGCCCATTGAAGTCACCCGCTCGGCTGCAGAGCAGAACCCCCCCTACTCAGGTACCCTGCTGGAGGCAGGCACAACCACCCCTTGCACACCCCAGCTCTCAACCACCCACTGGTCTCTCTCAGCCTGCCAGCCCGCCAGCCTTCCCCAAGAGGAGCCCTCTAGTCCCCTCAGCCAATCCAAACAAATCAGAAGGGCCAATGGACCCTGGGCCACTTCCTGGGAAGCTCAAAGGCAGGATCCTGTGAAGCTGGTGGAGGGAGAGAGGCACCCCACAGCTATGGGGGTGCCCAGCACCCGGGCATAGACCAGGCTACTAAGGTTAAGTGCTCTGACCTCAGCCTGATGTAGGGTGGAGCCCGAGGCGCCCTTCTCGCACTTCCGCCTGCAGGGCAGGGGAGCGAGCGCTGGGGACCCAAGCAGAGCAAGCTGCGCCGAGAGCGCTGGTTTCTGTGCGGGTTTCCGTTTAGTGCTACGGGGTAGCCCAGCCCGCCCCTTCTCGCCCTGCGGGAACCCCTCCCAAGGAGCGCAGAGAAGAGGGGTTGGGGTACACAGTGGGACGCGGAGACCGGAGATTAGAGATCAGAAGTCTCAGAGACCTAGAGGTCGGGAGTGCACGGGGTCACCAAGACCGGAGACAAAGGGATTTGGAAACAGGTCACAGAGGAGATTAGAGGCAGGGGACACAGGCAGAGATGCCGAGTGAGCAGAGACCACAGGACAGTCGAGGCAGACATCCCCACCATGCCACCCAGGCGATGCCTGGCCCCTCCAGCCCACGCCCACCCAGTGGCTGGCCGCAGCCCCGGGTCTTCCTCTCCAAACCAGGTCACCCCGGGACGGCTTCCGCGGTCGAGCCTGGGGGTGCGCTCACCAAAGTACACCTCCTTCCCGCAGTTGGGGCACTTGGGCATGGCTGCGCGTTCAGGACACGACTACACCGGACCTGGAGATGGCTGTGGGACAGCACAGGGCGGAAACCTCGGGTTCGCGCCTTTGAGGGACCCCGGGGCCCCGCCCTTGATGCCCCGCCTCCGTGCCCCACCCCCAAGCCTCATCTTGGACCTCAGAACCTCGAAAGTAGGCGTATCAGCAGCGAACTGGGGACTGCCCACGCGCGCCCTGGCCGGGACTGGCCTGGCTGGGACAGAGCAGGGGCACGGGGACGTTGGGGATCGCTGGGGAGGAGTGTTTTGGAGTACTCGCTCCCGGGCATCTCATCTGGGGGGGGGGGGCCTGTGAGTCAGCCGACAAGAAAACGTGCCCCTCCCAGGCCACAGGCTGTACCCTCCAGAGTCCTAGGTCTGTAGGAGCCAATGAGGGGACAAAGTTACTTCTGAAGTGCAGAAAGAGCGAATTAGCATGTGAGAATATCCTGACACTTTGTGTTCCTTAGGGAGAAGGATGAGAACAGTGAATGTCAATGCCAGGTCCAAGGGGCAGTCCAACCTCTGCTGGCTCCTTTCATGCCACTGCTCTCTCAAAAAGCACAGAAGGCAGCAGGGATGTCCCTGGGGAATTTGGAAAAGGGAACTTCCAGACAGCCCCTCCTCCACAGGACAGCAAAGCCTAAATTTGGGGACCAATGAGAGCTAGGGCAGAGGAGGGGAGGACACCTCCAGGCTGCTTCAGCAATTCCAGGTAGGGAGGGTGTCTTATCTCTGGGAAGTGCCCAGTATTCAAAGTGATCCAAGTCCAAGGCCAGTTATGATGGAGGCCGCCCAGCAGGTGCCAGGCACAGACTGTCCTGTCCAGGCCCTGTGAGGAAGATTAGGGGTGGTTGCTGGTTGACCCTGGGAGACCTGAGGGTGTGGTCTCCAACCTCAGGGAGGGAAGCTTGGGGAGGCCTCCTTAGCTCAGACCTCTCCTGGGGAGGGTTCCAGTTTAACGTTCCAGTCCTGGGGTTACAGTCCACCAAACATCATAGTCTAGACCCCAAGCCTTCCTCCTGCACAAACCCCAATTTCTCAAGGAGCCATCCCTACTCCACACGCTCCCAGCCCCCCAGGCCTCCCCCTTGCCCTGTCCCACTCCCTTCAGCCATTCCGTGCCAACCTGCTCCTTGCCAGACACAGCCATCTCAAAAACAAAATGTTGGTGGCGTGTGGCAGCACACACCTATAATCCCAGCACTCAAGAGGCTGAGGCAGGAGAATCACAATGAGTTTAAAGCAACATAGTGAGTTTAAGGTTGCCCTGAATGGCATGGTGAGACCCTGTACCAAAACAAACCAAAACAACCAAGATGTCACTTTGGGCTGTTTAAGTCCCTCCCTGCAGCAGTGAAGTCCACCCTCCCCAGCCCCTGTGCTCTGCCATGACTGCACTTGGGTATCCCCATGCCCCCTTTCCCTAAAGCCCACCTGCCTACTGTCTTCTCCAGGTCTGGCTCAGGGAGGGGAAGCTACAGTTGGCCCCATCCCAAGACCTCCCCACTTTACCAAGGTATCATATGTCCCTCACAGAGGCCACAATTCCAAGGAGTCTCCACCCCTGTGACCTCTGACAGTGGCCTCAGAGGCTACCCCTCTAAGGCCACAATTCCACCTAAGGCAGGTTGCCCCCTTGCTCTGCCAGGCACAGGCATCACTAGGTGGCTCCTGGTCACAAAGCCACCAGCACATCACTGCTTCACCTATGCCACCCATCCCCTGGGGGTCTCCTCACAAGTCACAGGTCTAATAACAAGGAGGCAAATCTGACTTCCCAGCCCCCTGACCTCTGTGAGTAGCACAGACCTAAAAAGATGTGGTCATAACCAGGGCAGAGATGCAGACAAATGGCCAGAGGCATCAGGGAGAGGAGCACCGGGCAGAGCCCCAGCTGCATGGGAGAGGCCAGGGAGGGGTAGAGTCTTCATCATGCAGTTCTTAGGTTACCCTGCAGTCTCACTGTTCTAGAGTCTGAGGCATCCACATGTGGCCCCACTTCAGGTCCATGCACGCCTGGGTGTAGAGCCCAGGTGCCACATGTGCATATGTGTCCTGGGCCTGTAGGCATCATGTGTGGCTCCTTTGGGGATCTGGGGTCACTTATGGGATCCCAGTACGCATGGCCACATGCTTCTGTCCAACCTTACCCACTCACGTTCTGGGATGGGCTCCTTAGCGCTTCACCCAGGTGATATTTGCTGGGACAGGCAGGGCAGCCCTCCAGTTCTCAGCCCCTTGCACTGCCCCATCCACAGAAGTATTCCTTTCACACCGAGACATCAGCCCTGCTCGCCAGGGAGCTCCCCCTGAAACCCTCCATGAGTCCTTCCTGGCCACCCCTGCTGTTGTTTTCATTGCTATGGTCACAGGGCAGGGGAGGGATGCCACCAGGGCAACAGCTATGGGCCATGCCTGCGTTGGTACACAGTTTTTCCAGATGCCTTAGGGACACACACAAAGACATTGACACACAGACACAATCACACTTACACAGGCGCCCAGAGACACACACATGCAGACATACACAGACATGAAGATAAGCACACAGCACACACATACCAAGGCACACACACACTATCCCTGAACCCCTCCCAAATTCCACAGGCTGACATGGCCCCAGTGGCGGCCCTTTCTCCTTCCACTCTGCACCCACCCGTCCTGCCTGTGGGTAGGGCTCTCATCAGTGACAGCCCTAACTCTGTCCTCTACCCAGATTCCACTTTCCAGCAGCGAACTCCAAAATCAGTACCTGTAGGGTACCCACACAGGTGCAAGGCCACTGCTTCTCCTGCCAAGGGCATCCTGACTCAAGACCACTCTACCCCTGCCTCTGCCAGTGTTGGAGGCCACAGACACAGAGGGCAGAGTACTGAGAACAGGACATTGAGCTCCCTGAGGCCTGTTCCTAAAGTTCAGCCCTTTTAGGGACATTGTGAAAGCATAGAGACCCCGGGGGACTTAGGGTTCTTTCTGAACTGCTGGCTTCCTGCCTGCACACACCCCTGCGCCCCCCACTGGCCAGCCACAGAAGGCAAGACTGGGTTCAGTGACTCCTGAGGAATCCTCACTGCCCCCACCTAGAGAAGGCAGGGCTGGGTCCAGTGACCTCTGAGGAATCCTTACCACCCCCACCTAGAAAAAATCCCCTCCCATTGCAAGGTTCCTGTCCTCCACTCGACTTCACCCGCACCTGGCCCAGGGCCCACTGAAGGGTATGTGTAGGTATGCAGAGTCCCCCAGAGTTGCAGGCCTGCCTCTGGCACAGAGGTGCCGACATAGGCTACAGGAAAGTATGCAGGGAAGAGGGAAACCCATTCAGGCCCCCCAAGCCAACCTCCCAGTACCCACCCTCCCCCTAGGAGTAGCCCAGGACAGTCACAGTTCCCAAGGCCTATTTTCAGCAGTTTGTCTCTGGGGACCCCAAGTTGGCCAGGGATCTGGCCCGGGTGGACCTGCTAGGCCGAGGCCCATGGCTGGGTGGGGAGGGCTGGACAGTACTTCCCAGCCAGGCTCCTTTACCCTTCAGGCCTCTGTACCTCAAGCCTAAGTAGAGGCAGCTCAGGCTAACCCTCCTCTCCAGGAGCCAGGTCTAGAGGCTAGTGTGGAGCAGTGGGGGTCCCCCAGCTGCCCCTTCCCCACCAGGGCTGCAATCCTGCCTGGCTTTTAGTCTGGCCAGATGGGTACCCTTCCTCTCCCCCTTCCTCAAGGCTGGGCCTGGTGCCCAGTCAGCTTCCTGGAACTAAAGCCTCAGCAGAACCACCTCAAATTCCAGCGTCACCATCCAGCAGCCGAGGCCTACTCATGGCCCCAAGCCCACTGCAGAGTCAGTCAGGCCCTGGAAATAGCTACTCATACCTGGCTGCCCTCCGTGACCACACTTTGTGTCTGCCCACCAGCAGCCACAAGCTAGATGCCCATAGTGATTTCCTGCTCCCCAGTCCATCAAGTTTAAACCAGCTGCCATTGAGCTGGACCTATGGGCAACAGGGCATTATGCCACCACCCCAAGTCCTACAGAAGTTTTGAAAAGAGCCTGAGCAAGATGGGGCCTGCAAGGAGCCAGGGCTGGAGAAGATGCCAACCCTGCTACAGGGTCACTAGCCAAAAGAAATTGGGTGGGGCCTGGAGGATGAGCACAGGGACAGAGGCTCTGGGACTTGGAAAGTGGGGACAAAGAGGGGCACAGGCTGATCCCACCTACTGAGATACTCATATGGGAAATCCAGGTAGGATCTCACCCCCACAAAGACAGTACCAGGAGGGAGAGGTGTCTGGGCTGGGGTGTGTCTGGGAACATCTTGAAGAGACCCCAGTGAACCCAGTGCCTTTAGACAGTGCTGTCCAGAAAGCTGGGGCAAGACTTCTTGAGGGTCCCTGCATTAGGTCCTGGAGGGCCTGAAAGAGGATAGAGGTCAGGTGGTATTTTGGAGTCAATTTACTGGCTGGGTGAGAGTCCAGGGGTAAGGCTGGTGGGCAACCTCCTGGAGTGGTGGGGGAAACTGAATCACAGGGCGAAAGCACCCAGCCCCCTTCCCTCCTCATCTTGGGGGATTGGAGGCTGATGCCACCAACAGAGCCTGAGCCATTGCAGGGGACACCGCCCAGCAACAAGGCCTATACAAACAGTAGCAGCAACGCCCCGATTTCCATGGCAACTCCTGGGAAACAAACATGCCAACGTCATCTTCCCCAGCAGGAAATGGCCTGGCTCTGCAGGCTCCAGCCTGGGTGGGGGAGCACTGCTGACTACAGGGCAAAGAGACAGATCTGCTGTCTGCAAGGGAGACCATAGCCTCTCAGTTCCACCCCACCCAGGGAGGTTTCTTGCCCTGATTTGGCTAGGGTTCCTTCCATGGTTTCCTCCCACCACGCAGAGGGCAGAACGCTGGCCTGCACCAGAAGCCAGGAAGTGGGATGGGCTCCTGTGTGGTGTGCTCTGGACTGAAGCTCACAGTGAGCCACGTTGATGGAAGGGGTCCCAGCTGTGCCTCAGCAGGAGTGGATTCTCCTCCACAGGGGAAGTGTGCTGGCTACAATCCAGGCTGCCTGGGGGCAACAGGGGCACTGCTGGATACCAGAATCAGCCCATGGCCTGCAACCAGGGACAGAGACACAGATGCTGCTCACAGGTCGAAGTGCCTGGCTTCCAGTATCAGCCATGCCAGCCTGTGACCTGGAGGGGGGGGGGGGTTGCACAGCCCTGAAGGACACCTTATTCTGCGGGCGGCCCATCCCTAGAGGGCAGGGGCCTAGGGCTGAACGGTGCTTTCAGGGTCTCTGTCATAGATGTAGCTGCCCACAGCTCCAGTGTTCACTCCTATGGAGACAGGCAGCTGGAGTGGCCAACCAGAGACAAGATGGGGCCTGGGCAGGAGGAAGGAGTACCTACACCCCACATCCCTTATTCTGGGAGCCCCTGGCTCCAGGTGCGTGATGGTATGTGCAGAGCCCCTCGCTCTACATGGGCGACAGGGCGTGGCACCCACTAGTGCATCTGGAGCCTGAGCCCAGGGCAGGTCCAGCACCACTGCAGCTCCTAAGCCGAAGGACAGGTGCGCCCTCTTGTGGACCTCCTCAAAGTGGCAGGTGAAGGCAGCACTCATTGAGGAGGGGCTGTAGGTCCCTCAGTATCTTTCTAGATCCGGCTACCTGGGCAGAGACAGGCTGAAATACCCAGCCTCTCACCTTGGTAAGCCATTCCCATCTACTAGAGGTCACCAAGTAAAGGAGGTGTCATCCTGGGAGAGGACAAACCTGTCCTGGGTACTCTCCTCTCCAACCTTCTGGGCTCTACCTGAGCCCTCGGCTACCCTCATCAGGTTGTGTGCCCTACATCCCAGGGTCCTGGCTCTGTGCATGATGCTGTTTGCAAGTCCTGGACCCAGCAACAGATGTTATATCCCTGGGGTATCAGTATAAAGCCCACCCATCTGCCTCACCTTTCTGGGTTATCCCCTCCTCCACCCAATCTAATCCTCCCTATGCCCACTGACCTCAGTGCTGGTGCTGCTGCCCAAAACAAGTCCTTCTCAAACATCTTTGAACCCCACCTCAACCAGAGGCACTGGCTGGGACCATGGGTGGAGGAGACAAAGGGACACTGTCCTAAAAGTCACATATATCCCATAGCCACAGACACAGAGCTGGAGCCTATGATTCCCCAAACCTTTATTAACAGCAAAAGTCTCGGGACCAAGAGTGAGCTATGTGAAGAGAAGACAGCAAGGGGGCCAGGAAGAGGGGTGACCCCAGCCCTGGGGATGCCGTGAGCACGTGGCCATCATCGGCAAGCTGCAGCATAAATAATACTGGTGGGCAGGTGTAGAAATAGGGGGAGGGCAGAGCAGCCACCTCGGCCACCTCGGTCATGAGGACATACAGGACACAGAGAATGATGGGGCAGGGGAACACATACAACAGGCAGACACAAAAGGGGTGGGGAATACAGAAGACCCTATGACCAGGACACACGAGTGCGTGGGCTGAGCTTGGGCAGGTCTGCAGATGGCCCATCTCTTTCTCCTGGTAGGCAGGATGTACTGAGACAGGGCAGGGCAGCAGGTCACTGTCCCCCACAGAGCCACGTAGGGGGCCCAGGCAGGGTCAGCAGGAGGCAGATGGGCCCATCCCCAGAGGGCAGGGGCCTAGGGCTGAACGGTGCTTTCAGGGTCTCTGTCATAGATGTAGCTGCCCACGGCTCCAGTGTTCACTCCTATGGAGACAGGCAGCTGGAGTGGCCAACCAGAGACACGATGGGGCCTGGGCAGGAGGAAGGAGTACCTACACCCCACACCCCCGGCCACACTCACCCTTGGGTCCAAAGAGGATTCCATAACAGGGCTTGTGGCAGTAGGGCTGGCCATCATGCTGTGGGTAGGACAGGGACAGTACTGGGCATAGACCCTTCTCCACGGTGCCCAGAGATGGCGATGGCCATGACCTGTGGTTTCCTGCAGGGCCTTCCAAGAGCCCTGCAGCTCCAAGGCCACGCTCAGGATCACTTGCCTTGGGAGTCTCCTGGCCCCCAAACCTCCTGGGGATTCAACCCATGCTCACCTCTGCATGGCCCCCTGGTGTCAGAGTCTTGGCACAACGCTCACAGCGCAGGCAGGGCCGGTGCCAGTCCTTGCCCAGGGATGTCACCTTTTCAGCTGCAAGAGAAGGGCAGGTGACAAGGCCACCCAGACTCCCTGGAGCAAGGCAGGATGGGGGTCACTCACCAAAGTAGACTCTCTTGTTGCAGCGAGGACACAGGTTGGGCTCCCCGGTGAATGTGGTCACACTGGAGGCTGCAGGCAGGTGGTATCAGGGTGGCCAAAGAACTCTGGCACCACCACAGCCCTGACAACTCCCATCCCAGCACCCAAGGACCCCCACCTCTGCTGGGCCCCTTCGGGGGGCCACTGGCCTTCCGCTCCTCAGCACGGGCTGCGGGGGCCTCGATGGGGCCAGTGACTGGTGCTCCCTCAGAGACGGGCTTCTCATAGATGTAAGAGCCTGCACCACCAATGTTCACACCTGCAGGTGTTTGGGAGTGGGCATTGGCTGTGGCACACAAACCCCCCTCCACCCAGGTTTTTTGGGAACCACAGGACCAGAGTATCCATACTCTACCGGGACTGCTAGGGTTAGAAGAGGTCACCGCCTACACCACTCACCTTTGGGTCCAAACAGCGTGGCATAGCAGGGTTTATGGCAGAAGGGCTTTCCATCGTGCTGGATAGAGGGTAGTCAGGAGTCAGGCTGCAGACCCAGCTCCCTTTTACTCCTCCCCCCCACCAACAGTCCCCCTCCCCTGCTTACCTCTGCATGGCCCCCTGGTGTCAGCGTCTTGGAGCAGCGCTCACACTTGAGGCAGAACTTGTGCCAATCCTTGCCCAGGGAGCTCACCTTCTCCGCTGCAAGGAGGCAGGGGTCAGGTTCCCATCGGCCCAGACTGTCCTCCTTATACTCCAGTTTAGGCAACTGTCACCCCTTGTACCTGCTGTGACTCCTGGGTTCACCTGCCCACGTGCTCACTCTCCCTAGAATACCTGTCTCCTGACACCTGTGCCCCACCTTTGCTTTGCCTATACCTGTCCTCCTTTACTCCCATCCATGATGGCCCCTCCCCAAAAGGGCCCTAAATGAGCTAAGGGGAGGCCCTGGGCCTCCAGCCTGGGCTTTGGGAAAGCTAATCCTCCTCCCATCGGACCCCAGGCAGGACCCCATCTGTCTATATTTGGCCTCCTCTTCCAAAGATCCCCCCACCCTTCCTCCAGTTGCTGCCTGGGCGCCAAAGGTCTGAGGCCAGCTGCTGAGGATCAGGTGCCTGCCATCCCCACCCTCTGGGGGGATGCTCAGTCACCTCCCAATGGCCGGAAGCCAGGCATCCTCACAGGCTGAGGCAGGAAAAGGGTGGAGAGTAGGGCAGGAAGAAGGGCTGGAGCAGAGCCGGAATTCCACAGGGAAGGGGCCAGATTGAAGGCGTTGGGGAGGAGGGTGTCGCGTCTTTGCCAGCTAGGCTGCAGCCACCCTGCTGGGCAGCTGTGGCACAGGGCTCCCCTCTGAGTTGCAGAGTGTCCCCTCCCTGGCCAGGCCTCCCCTGGATACCGGACACAGCCTACCCAGAGGCACAGGGGAGCTGCTCTGAGGCAGCAAATCTAGATCTTCCAGGTGGCTCTGGAAGGACTGACTCCTGCTCTCCAGGGCCCAGTGGGAAACTGTTGGCAGGGCCTACTTGGCCCCCTCCCAGAACACCCCCTCCACATGTCCCCATAATACAGGGCAATATCTACTCAGTTTCCTCCAGGGCTCTGTCTGCATCAGAGTAGGCAGCAGGGCCAACCAGGAGGAAGGCAGCTTGGCTTCCATACTGCCCTGGTGTCCTCTGGTAGCACTGTGATAAGGAAGCTGTCGGGGTGGGCATCAGTGGCTGCGGCAGCTGCAGTTCAAAGTTGCCAGAACTATGCTGTCCCAGCCAGCTCTGGGACAAGGACTGTGTTGGGGCAGACAGCTGACCTGCAGACTGCTGGCTGGATCAATGGCTACATTACAGGCCAGAGTTGGGAACAGAGGATCATTTGGGAACGGAGGATCAATCAGGAAGCCATTAGGCTTTGAGGGAGCCAGCTCCCTGCCCAGCTGCCTGTGCTCTGGGGGATCCAGGAGCACAGCACCCTAAAATCTTCCAGAATGTTCCCGCTGAGGGTCAACTCCAGCATGGGTTGCTGCGCCACAGGATTCTGGAACCCTTGCCAGGGCCTCACCACTGCCTTTGGAAGGACAGAAGCCAGCTGGGTGTGAGGGGCTGTGTTCCTGCTGAGAACAAGCATAGCACTTTTCCGGGTTGCCTGTTGGACCAGGCCCCAGAGAGTTCCAAGCTGGCAAGGCCTAGGGCAGAGACAGGGCCTGGAGACTGTCCCCACCCTGAGCCCTCTCTGGAACAAGGAGAAGGGCTGGGCTAGCTACTGAGGAGGTGGCAGGAAGACCCGGGCTTCTTCCAAGCCAGAAGCACTCCCAGCAAAATCCGGTCCTCCCTAGGGGAGCAGCAAACCACTGTGTGGCTTCTCCTCCTCCAGTCTGCAGGGAAACCCAGAGGCCACCAACCATTGTTCCTAGGATGACCGGAGAAAGGACCCTGGCTGTCGGCTCTTCTGTCACCATCCATTCTGGCTGGCCCCCTCTGTCCCTCCACAGCAAAGTGGGGGAAAGAGGGTCAGCAGAAGGAGCATGCAGGGGGTGCGGTCCAAGGACCACACTGAACAGGACAGGGTTGGGGGTGGCTGTGGATGGGAGTGGGGGCCTCTGGGCCCCAGGAGAAGGAGATCAGCCATTCCTGCCTACCTGTACTTGTGCCCCGCCTTCAGGAGCTCCAGGAGTCCGGGATCCTGGCCACCTGCTGCCCTCTCAAGCTCGCGGAACCCGCAACTCGGCTGCATTCCCGCTCCGCCCCACCCGCCTCCGCGAGAACCTGCCGGGGAACTCGCTAGGAGAGCGAGCGCGTTGGGACACGCGGGAGGCGCAGGCTAAGGTCGTTTCCGCCCGGAGAAAATCACGACGCCACTGGCCCTGGCCCTGGCCCTGGCCCCGCAGCCCGGGGAGACTTTGAGGGGGCTGGAGTCACGGCTCCGACCGTACCCTGGCGAGCAGCCGCTCCGGGGATGACGGTGATCCCTGGGGCGCAGTGCAGGCCGATCACAGGCCACCGCCCGTTCGACCCCACCCGACCCCGCCGGGCCCACCCGCATACAACGGAGTCGGTTAGGGTGGAACGGACAGCAATGCATTCCCGCCATCTCCTCGCTGGCAGCCCCAACCCTGCCACGCCCGCGTGGGCCGCGCGACGAGCCAGCACGCGCGGGCAGGGCGGGATGGCAGGACCGGCACTCACCGAAGTACACGGTCTTGTCGCACTTGGGACACTTGGAGGCCATGGTCTGCGCGCCTGATCAGCCCGCGCCCTGCGCCCGCACTCCACTGCGCTCAGCCGCCGAGCCCCGCCCGCCGCCGGCCCCCGCCCCACATCCGCCATTGGCTCCGTGTCCTGGGCGGGGCCTCGGGACCCTGCCCGCGCCCGCCCGGGTTCGACCGCTGGGGACGCCCTGGCACCGCGGGCGGGGCACACCTGGCGGGGGCGGTGGGAGACCCGGCTAGGCGCTACCGGCACAGGCGGGCAGGCAGCGGCCAAGCGTTCCCCCACTCGGGTTTCCATGGCAACGTCGAGGCTCCGCGTTGGGGCGCCCCCTCCCGAGCTGCCCCGAGGTTCGAGGAGCCCTCCCTCGCGGCCTAGGGGCCGCTAGCCCTAACAAACACCCAGGCCGCGCGCAGACCCACCCCACCCCATCCCCATCCAGCCCCACCCTCGCCCGGCGCGCAGCGCCGCCCCCCTTTGTTGCCCAGTTTCCATAGCAACGACCGGCAGGAGCAAAGAATCTAGTTGCTGGCGGGCTGGGCGCCGCGGTCCTGTCTGTGGTGCTGAAGACGGACTGCGCGCTTTGGGGAGGCGCCGCGAGTTCCAAAATCAGCGCGGACATCTTGGGAGAGAACGATAGCAAGAAGGGGCGCTTTCCAGCGGAAGCTCCTTCCCACACACTGCCACCCGTGCTAATACCTGCCGAGACACCGGGCTCCAGGACCCCTGCCGCACCCAGCCCGGCCTCAGGCGTTCTGTGGGCGGCAGAGCTGGAACCCTGCCAGTCAGATCACAGCTCCTATTCTGCCAGCCTTCAGGAACTCTGGGTTCACAGTCGCCCACCACCACAGGCCTTTTCTGCCTGATCCCATCTCTCCTCCCTCACTCTGGCGCCCAGCAGGTCCAGCGCCTGCAGAATGGGTACTAGGAACACACCCTGGACTCACAGGCCCTTCTCTGAACTTACTGGCTCAAGCCGGGTCCTGGGCCTGAGAGACAAAACGTTCCCCACGGGCTGAAAACCCTGACCAGGCCAAGTCTGGGCAGCAGACAGCAGACAGTACGCAACCCCGCAACCCTGCCTCACTGCACAGCGTCTGCCCTTAAGGCCCTGACAAACGCTGAGGCTGACTTAGTTTCCCCTGCCTGGTGCACCTGCCCAGCCAAGGACACAGGTCAAATGGCCTCTGTTACTGTAAATCCCTGCTATGGTGTATTGTGCTGATGAGCCCTCCGAAACAAGAGGTTTATGGAGACTGCCTTTCTGGCCTCCCTGTCCCTCCTTACACAGCCTGCAGAGACTGCCATTTCTATGGCGACAGCGAAGCGTGCTCCCCCAAGCCCGACTGACCAGCCTAACCGGCTCCCCCTGGGCACATCTGGATGCATGCCAGCCAACACTGGAGACAATGAGCAGGGCCCTTCACTCACAACTTGCTCCTTGCTCAGGCTGGATTCACAGCCCCTAGGTCCCACTCAGTACCCATTACTGTGTCCTCCAGGTCTCCCTGGCCCAGAAATGCTGGGGCCTAAGTGCCACCCTCCTGACCACCTCACAACTGACATCTATAGGACAGCCTAAGGATGGGCTGGCTGGACACAGGAATCTTTTAGGAGGGTGCCCTGAGGTTACCAGCTCAAAGGGTACATGAGGCCATTCAAAGGGTGGCAGTTTAGGAATGGGTTGGGGAAGGGGGCCTGCCCACCCTCCAGCAACAGTCCCTGGGCCAAGACTAGAGGCTCCCTGAGGCTAAGGGGCCATTCTGGGTCTGCAGGAAGGGCCGCTGGTCAGTGGTCCCTAAGCAGTGGCCTTGCCTCCAGCTCATGAGGGTGACAGGCTGGGCCGTGACAGGGTCTGAAGGACTCCTGGTATGGGAAAGGTCTAGATTCAGCAGAAGCAGGCAGGGATCTGGGTGGCCAGGCCCAGAGGGCCAGTCTCCATCCTGGTACCCCACACCCGAGAGACATGGTGCCCTGTTGCTCAGTCCTGCTGTGCTGCGGGGAACCCAACTTTGTGCCAGTGTTGGATGAAGCAGCCCAGACCAGGCAATACTGTAGGGTAGTTTTGGCAGAAGACAGGGCTCCCGAGGACAGGGAGGGAGCAATGCCAGAAACTGACTCCGGGGCTCTGCCTAAGTTTAGACCCCCACAAGTAGCTGGAAGACAGACACAGGTGGCAGGAACTGGGCTCTGTGGGGGTACTGAAGCCAGCATAGTAGAGTAAGGGGCACAGGGGAATGGGGGCCAAGGACCAAGGTGAGAGAAGGGTACCACACTCCTCAGGGCAAAGCTGAGCCTGCCCTTGCCCATACTCATTGTCTCCAGAAAAGGCCAGCCTTGGTCGTGGCTGAGGACACCATGCTGGCCGAGCCAGAGCCTCTTCCCTTCCTCCATGGCCCCAGGCTGGAAAAGGCTTAAGAGGCTTTCTCAAAGACCAAGGGGCAGACTGCTGACCCAGTGACCTAGGAGGATTGGTGATGTGCAGTGCAGCCATGTCCCCAACACCTGGGACTGTCACCTGTTGGGCCTCATCACAGGCTAGAAGAGGGAGGCGGGCGCCCCCTTATCTCTGTCCCAGGGCAGAACTGAAGTGGTTGCTATTTTAATTCGAGGTTTCCACACATCCCAAGTGCCTGGGTAAGTGCAGGGGGTGGGTATGAGGCAGAGTCCACTATCTCCTGGAAAGAGGCCAGGCCTCAGGGGCGTTCTGAGGCCCGAACTCCTCCAAGCTGGTCCCACCTACACCTGTCCCTGTGTCTGGGAGGGGACAAGCAAAGGGAGAGTTTCCAAGTAGGACATGGCAGAGATCTCAGCAAGCCTGAGAATGCTCCAGGTATAGTCATAGGGGCAGGGCTCTTACAGCACCTAGGTGGACCCCATCTCTGTGACATGATCCTGGTGACAGGGTCAGCCTTTGTTGTCTCCTGCAGTCTTTTTCTGTTTTGAGACAGGGTTTCATTATGCAGTCCAGACTAGCCCCGAATTTACAGGGATTCTCCTGCTTCAGTAGCCTCCCTTCTCCCCCTGTGCACCACCATGCCCAGCTTCCCTATCTCCTCAGGGCTCCGCTGCTCCAGGGCAGGACCAACAACAGCCCAGTATGCCCACATGCCCCAGAGGGCCTGGCTCTGGGACCACCATGTGGGAAGGTATCCTGTCCTAACCTGACAAAGCAGACCTTGGAATCCGCAAAGGTGTTGGGGTCAGAGATACCCTAAGGCCCGGAGAACAAAAGACATAGAGAAGGGCTGGCTTTTTCCTTTTTATGGATTTTTTTCTTTGTTTTTGTTTAATATGAAAATTACTTGAAAAGACAAAGGGCCAACCCTGCAGGCAGCCTGGCCACCACCAGCTGCACCAATCCTAACATTCCAGGTGTAAGTTACAGAGCTCAAGTTCATCTACAAAAAAAGTAATAAAAATAAAATTTAAAATGGCACCTTCAACAGAACACAACAAAAACCTTGGGCCTGGCCCCAGGCAAGAGCCCCATAGCACAAGGGGCTGGGGCCACCCCTCCTTTCTGCTCCAGCCAAAAAGTAAACACAAAGCTAAAAAAAAACGACTCCTTGGCGTTCTTGGAATAAGTTAAAGCACACTTCTTCCCTGATGTCCACCGAAGGAGTGGTCTGCGAAGGAGGGCAGGAGGTGGGGCACTACTGAAATGCAGGGCACAGGGTGCAGGGTGCAGGGTGGGCAGGCAGCGCTGGCAAGGGAGAAGGCCGCCCAGCCGTGCAGGCCTCATAGACACGGACGTGGGGGCTGGCCAAAGGCTGGGCGGGCCAGGGGCAGGTGGCCACCTAGTCCTCAATGACAATGGGCTCATCGTTGACTGGCGCAGGTGGGAGTGGCCGCAGTGGTAGGGCCTGGCTCTGGCGCAGGGCGATGGGTTTATAGGGCCGGCGGGCAGCACGCTTGGTCTCTGAGGACGAGAGAAGCTTGCGGATCTTCCTGTGAGGAAGAGGAAGACAGTATGAGGGCTGGAAGGTGACCATGTGCCCTGCCTGCCCCCTTCTTATGCCCCAGAATGCCCCCTCAACCTGGTCTCCTCAGTGGCCATATAAAACACATCATCCGGGGCATCGATCCAGTTCATCCGCCGCCGCTTGACGGGTGGTAGCGAGCCCCCCCGGATCAGGCGCACTTTGGTGGGGTACGACTTTCCGTTGAGCAGTAGGTTACGGCTTGGTCCCTGGTGCAGAGAAAGGGTGTGAGAGGGCTCTTGGGCTTCCATGTGGCACCTCACATTCTACAAGTAGTGCCCCAAGCAGCCAGGTCCAGGCCAAGCCATTTTGCCAATATGCAGTCAGCAGACTCAGCACAGGAAAGGCAGGGGCTCTTTGACCACTGTCTGGACCCAAAGTGGATGGGCCTGGCATAGACTCCTGGGTCCCACCCAGCCTCCCGGATGCTCCCAATGCCATGCCACTGGCTGCTGCTCTTACCATGTGCCTGGTCTGTCCGTGGTTTGCCAGACCTGGTGAGAAAAGGGAAGAGTTGAGACCAAGAAAGGGGCGTGGCCTCCCACAGCACAGATGGCCCTCCGTGGACTTAGGACACAGCCTGACAAGGGAGATATAGGGAACGAAGGTGCTTGGCTCCCCTGTACCCCAACCTAGCCAGGCAGCCGTGGAAACAGTGCCCAGGGATTCCATGGTTTTCTGCTGGCCAGTAGAAGGGACGGGAGCTCAGGCCACAGGCAGGAAGCTCCCTGAGCCAAAGCGGCCCTCAATGGAGCCAAGGCAGACGAAACCTGGCATTCACAGTAAGCAGGTGCCACAGGGCACAGCTACAAATCCAGCAGCATACCTCGGGCCCCTCTCCAAGTACTCACACCCCAGAAGGCAGAGCTGGCCACAGCTGGCCACAGCTCCCAGGCATATGCTGAGGGACTGGAAGAGCTATCACTGGAGTGAGGCAGAGGTCAAACCCGAGCACCTGGGCTCCCAGCCCCACCATGGAATCCCAGATGGGCCCACCCAGGGCCATCACTGCCTTTCAGCCCACCTGAGAGCAGAAGCCAGTGCTGGTTTCTACAGAGGGCCTACCCTACAGACGACAGGGCAAGTGCCCCACTCAGTGTGGGCCCTTCAGGTCCCCGAACGCTGTGATGTTCCCTCCAGGAGAGGAACCGACCTAGCCCTCCTACTGGCTTCAACGCAGGAAGCTCCACTTCTTCCACTGTACACCACCTCCAACCTAGGGGGCGCCCTACTC